ATGCCCCTTGAGACTACGACCTTGATACACTGTCAAAGGCGTATGAATACTTTCCTAAAGGGATTAATTTCCCCCACACGGTGCTTGGGTTATTCCGGAAATTCCCTTTGAGATACAATTGAAAGCCCTTCTCGTTCTTAGCACAAAGAATCGAAACAAAGATGAATAAATTCACAATATTTGGAATGATTTCAAGAGTTTTCTCACAAAAGTTTGCAAGGATTTTGAGAGAAAATTGTAGAGAATACTTGTGGAGAGAAGAAGAGAAATTTTCTGTATATTTTTTCCGAATCTGAAAACAAGCCTTTTTAATAAAGACTTAACCGTCAGAATTTCGCGAAAAACAAACTGGCGCGGGCGCTCCACCAGGAGGTGCGGGCGCGCCTCAAAGTGGAGCGGGTGCTCCTAAACAGGAGCGGGCGCACCTCTTTTGAACTTGCGAAATTCACAAAGGAAGACAGAGTGGTACGCGGTTTAGGCGCGACCACAGCGCGGCCGCGCGTACCTAGCACGGGCGCTACTCATGGTTCGCGAGCGCGCAACCAACAACACTCTAAATATTCCAACAAATAGGTGGGCAATGTTCATCCAAAAAGCCTCATCAGAATCCCCATATCTCAAATAACTACCCAAGATTGCAACCTCATCTGCCCTAACATTGTTGGGTTCTACCCGTCCAGAAATAGTCCACCCTGTAAAGCGAGTCCAAAGCCTAAGGACGGTTTGATGGATTTTGTTAGCAGGGGCATGTTGCATAGATTCAATATTTTCACCAGTCATAGCAAACCACAAATCCCCAGAAATGAAATTGTTTGGTTGCATGGTTAATCTTCAGGCCAGGATACCTTCCTAGCAAAACCATCTAATGTAAGTCGGTGGGATTTATTCAACAACTTATATACTACATGTGTCACCAATCCATCTCTACCCTTCACTACATCAAAAGAGCTCAAGAATTCAAGAGTAATGTCCTCATAAGTATAATGAATCATGTTGTTTGAGACATGCCAAGTTTAGAAAATAAAGTTCTCCATTCAGAATCTATTCCTAATTTTGCAAGAAGAGAACGATCTATAAAACGAGTAGGAATTACCTTCCAATGTCTTAGCTCTTGGAACCGCATATTTTGATTGGGAAATTTGGCCACGAACTTGATGTGTGGAAACTCCGAAATGCTTTCCAAATCTAGTTATGGTTCTTGAGGTGCGGCCCTATTTCTCTTCCTTGTAGCCATTGATGTTCCTCAAGCTTTCTCTCTCTAGAAATTATGAAATTTGGGTGAAGTTAGTGTTTGGAGGTGAGAAGAGTAGCAATGGAGGTTGAGTATTAAATAGAGGTGATGAAGGATGAAGAGAGTGAAAGAATTTGGGTGAAATTTGTGGGAATTAGAGGAGAGGATGAGAGTTAGGGTTTGGGATTTGGAGGGTTTTTAGAGAGAGAATGTGTATGAATAATAAGGAGGAAAGAGTAGAATGAAGTGAAAAGGGGTCTTTTTTTTCCCTTTCTAAAATACGAATTCGCTGCTACCCTTCGCGCCCGATCAGGCATGCATGCCCGGTCTTACCGGGCGGTAGGAATTCCAGAAATTTTTATTTTCTTTTTTGAATCTTGGCTCTCGCGCCCGGTCGGGCGCTCCATGCTCAGTCTGACCGGGCGGTAGGGGTTAACTTGAAGCTTTAATTCCTCTTTTTTTCTTGTTTCTCGCGCCCGGTCGGGCACTCCATGCCCAGTCTGACCGGGCGGTGGGGGTTAGAGAATGTTCTACATTTTCTTTTCTCCCTTTTTGACTCTGATTCTCGCGCCCGGTCGGGCACTGCATGCCTGATCTGACAGGGTGACGAGTTAATACTCGTTTATCAACCTTTGACAGCTTTCTTGACAACCCACTTCTGCATAGCTCGGTGTTCCCTAAAAAGAACAAAAACAAAACAAACACAAAACTAAAAAGAAAAAGAAAATAGGAAAAACTAAGAAAACGAGTAGCCTCCCGCAAGCGCTTGTTTATAAGGTCGCTAGCTCGACCGTAGTGATGCTCATTGAGTTGGCGATGGGGAAGAGAGTGTGATGTCCACCTTCTCTTCGATAGGATCCCCGACGCGGTAATGCTTCACCCTTTGGCCATTAACCTTAAAAGTGGCCCCGGTCTTATTCCATAGTTCAATGTAGGAGTAGACCTTAAAAACAATGAAAGAACTTGACCACCTAGACCGAAGCTTTCCGGGAAACAATTTCAAGAGTGAGTTGAATAGAAGAACTTGATCTCCTTCCTTGAATTCTCTTCTCACAAGGCCCTTGTCATGCCACCGTTTAGTTCTTTCTTTGTATGATTTTGAACTCTCATAAGCTTCAAGACGGAGCTCATCTAGTTCATTCAATTGTAACAACCTCTTTTCTCCCGCCGCTTTAGCATCAAAATTTAAGCTCTTAATAGCCCAAAATGCTCGGTTTTCTAGTTCGACGGGTAGGTGGCATGCCTTCCCATAGACAAGTCTGCATGGGGTTGTACCTATTGGAGTTTTGAATGTCGTTCGGTACGCCCATAGTGCATCATCGATTTTCATGGACCAATCCTTCCTTGTCCTTGCAACCGTTTTCTCAAGAATAGACTTTATTTCACGGTTAGAGACTTCCACTTGACCACTAGTTTGTGGATGATAGCCAATGCCAAGCCTATGTTTCACTCCATATCTCTTCAACATTGCTTCGAACCGATGCTCCAAGAAGTGTGTTCCCATGTCACTAATCAACACACGTGGGATACCAAATCAAGGAAAAATAATTTTCTTGAAAAATTTACTTACCACACGAGCATCATTGGTTGGAGTAGCGATAGCTTCAACCCACTTTGAAACATAGTCAACGGCTACTAAAATATATCGGTGTCCATGGGAAGAGGGAAACGGACCCATGAAGTCTATCCCCCACACGTCAAACAACTCGACCTCGAGTATGCTGTTTAGTGGCATCTCATGCTTCCTCGAAATATTACTTGTCCGTTGACAACGATCACAGGCCTTGACATAGGAGTAGACATCTTTGAACAAGGTTGGCCAATAAAAATCGCACTGCAAAATCTTCGCGGTTGTCTTCGAAGGACCTGCATGTCCACCACACGGTAAGTCATGGTAATGAGAGATGACATTATGTACCTCATTCTCCGAGATGCATCGTCTGATCACTACATCCGCACATAGCTTATACAAGAAAGAATCCTCCCAAAAATGTCTCTTGGCCTCATAAAGGAATTTCTTCTTTTGTTGAGACGAGTAGCCGTGAGGCATTCTACCTGTGGACAGAAAATTAGCTAGATCAGCATACCAAGGTGACTCAATTTTCGAAAGAGCTAATAAATGTTCATCAGGGAAAGAATCGTCAAAAGGGAGGTCGTCTCCGTCCCCATATCAAGGAGGAGGAGAGAGAGATGGTCTGCAACGACATTTTAAGTCCCCTTCGTGTCCTTTATTTCGATGTCATAATCCTGCAACTGAAGGATCCAACGAATCAACCACGGCTTGGCGTGACTTTTGCTCATTAAATATCTCAATGCCGCATGATCTGTATGAATTATTACTTTTGAACCAACTAGGTAAGAATGAAACTTGTCTATTGCATAAATTACTGCTAGCATCTCTTTTTCACTTGTGGCATAATTCATTTGACCAGGGCTAAGAGTTTTACTAGAGTAATAAATAGCATGAAGTTTTATGTCCTTTCGTTGCCCCAAAACGGCTCCTACTGCATAGTCACTAGCATCGCACATTTCAAATGGTAGGGTCCAATCCGGGGGTTGCATGACAGGAGCAGAGATCAAAACTTCCTTAAACCTGTTAAAAGCCTCAAGACAAGAATCAGTAAATACAAATGGGGCATCTTTAGCCAAAAGCGTAGTTAGAGATCGAGCAATTTTTGAAAAGTATTTAATGAATCGTCTAGAAAATCCTGCATGACCAAGAAAGCTCCGAACTCCTTTTACAGAGTTAGGAGGGGGTAGTCGCTCAATGACCTCTATCTTTTCCTTATCGACCTCAATACCCTTAGAACAACTCCCTGTTGTACCATAAAATGGCATTTTTCCCGGTTCAAAATTAAATTGACTTCTTGACATATATGGAGCACCTTTTTCAAATTTTCAAGACATACATCAAAAGATGTTCCATAGACAGAGAAGTCATCCATAAAAACTTCCATTGAATTTTCAATAAGACCTGAGAAAATTGCCATCATGCAACGCTGGAACGTGGCTGGAGCATTAGATAATCCAAATGGCATTCTTCGATAGGCGAAGGTGCCATAGGGACATGTGAATGTGGTCTTTTCATGATCACAAGGACGAATAGGAATTTGAAAGAAACCAGAATATCCATCCAAATAACAGAAAAAGGAATGCTTAGCCAAACGTTCAAGCATCTGATCAATAAAGGGAAGGGTGAAATGGTCCTTCCGGGTGGCCTTATTCGGCCTTCTATAATCAATACACATTCGCCACCCTGTAATAGTCCTAGTGGCGACTGGCTCACCCTTGTCATTCTTGACAACGGTCATACCTCCTTTTTTAGGTACTAGTTGTACAGGGCCAACCCACTTACTATCTGAGATAGGGTAAATTATTCCTACAGCTAGCAATTTAAGAACCTCTTTTTTAACTACCTCCATCATATTTGGATTAAGCCTTCTTTGAGATTCTATGGAGGAGGCATGATCGTCCTCAAGAATGATTTTATGCATACAAAAAGAGGGATTAATACCCTTAATATCATCAATGGTATACCCAATAACACTTTTATATTTTCTCAAAACAGTGAGCAATTGCTCTAATATTGTGTCATTAAGCTCAGCATTAACAATAACAGGATATGTATTATTAGGACCAAGGTATGCATATTTAAGAGTAGAGGGAAGGGGTTTCAACTCTACCTCGGGAGGCGTAGTACTCTCCCCGACGTTTGATACACTGAGGACCACCTTGACTGGAGCGGTGATTGGATTGGATTTTGCTTCTTCTAGTAGCCTTGTGTACTCCCTTGTTTCCCAATCTTCATCATTGGCACTCCCGTTAACACCGTTTCAAGTGCATCATCCGCTTTAATCAAGGGAAGTTGCTCAAGTTGTAAATCATCAAGGACTAAATCATCAAGGACGTCCACTTGACAAATAGTCTCTCCCATGAAAGGAGTTCCCATAGCATTCAAGAGTGAATACTCCATTTTCTCGTCACCTACTTCAAAAGTGATTTTTCCATTCTTCATATCAAAGATTGCACCTACAGTGGCTAAGAATGGTCTACCAAGAAGAATAGGGACATGTGCATCCTCCTCCATCTCCATCACAACAAAGTCACATGGAATAAAGAATTTTCCCACGCGTAGTGGAACATCTTCAAGTACACCCAAAGGAAACTTGACTGACCTATTCGCAAGTTGTAGAGATATACGTGTAGGCTTTACTTCACCCATTTGAAGTTTCTTGCAGATAGAGAGCGGCATAAGACTCACACTTGCACCAAGATCGCATAATGCTCTGTTGATCTCTATGTCTCCAAGTTTCACTGGAATTGAGTAGCTACCCGGATCGCCTAATTTCTTTGGAAGTGTATTTTGCAAAATTGCACTACACTCTGCAGTCAACGCAACCGTAGCATTCTCCTCTAGCTTCTTCTTGTTAGAGAGCATATCCTTTAAAAATTTTGCACAGGATGGCATCTCGGATGTTGCATCTAAGAATGGAATGTTGATGTGGAGCTTTTTCAGAATATCAAGGAATTTTCCATACTTTTTCTCTAACTTAGCTTGAGCCAACCTTTGTGGAAAAGGAACTTGTGGCACATATGGAGCAGGTGGTGGTGGAGTCGATGCCTTTGGCTCTTCCTCAATCATACTACCATCAACCGCCTTCTCAGTTGTGACTACTCCCTCAATAATCTCCTTTGATGGCTCCCTTACGGGAGGAACTTCCAACTGCTTTCCACTCCTCAAAGTCACGGCATTCATATGCCCCTTTTGTGCTTGCTCTGTTTGACCCGAAAAGGTACTCGGAGTCCTTGAAGATTGGCCAACTTGATGAGCAAGTTGACTTATTTGATTTTCCTTGAGCTTGTTTTGAGCTTGTAACTGTTGGATGGAATTGTTTGTTGTGGTTATGAAGTTTTCCATCATTAGCTCAAGGTTAGATTTTTAAGGAGGTGGTTGCGTAGGTTGTTAGACTGGAGGTGGTTTCATACGTTGTTGGACTGGAGGCGACCTTGCTTGAAAACCAGGTGGTGCATTATAATTGTTGGTTCGAGATGGTGGTGGAGGCGGATTTTGTTGGGCTAGGGTATTCTTAAGGAGAAATTTGGATGATGTTTCCAACCTTCATTATATGTGTTAGAGTGAGGGTCATATGGCCTTTTGGGATTTGAAGTGTAGAATGCATTGGCTTCCTCGATCGACATCTAATTCGAATTCTGTGGACAATCAGGTGCAATGTGACCTTGTACATTACACATTTGACAAGTTTCAGGTGAGCTAGAAGATAATCTAGCTTAGAGTCTGTCAAACTTACTTGTCAATGCCTGCACTAAACTAGTCAAAATAGTTAGAGCATTAACATCTAATTTTCCTCCTTTCTTCACACTATTTCGGCCTCTTGGATGATAATTGTCATTAGCCGCCATCTTCTTAATTAGCTCCTTTGCCTCAGTTGGGTTCTTAGTCAAGAGAGAACCCCCATATGTAGCATCAATATAGATTCGGAACTCATGAGTTAAACCATTATAGAAGGTTTGGATCAACATCCATTCAAGAATACCATGGTGAGGGCATTGTCTCTGCAATCGCTTGAATCTCCTCCATGCTTCATATAGGGACTCATTATCTAACTGCCTGAAAGTAGATAACTCATTTCTCAACCTTGCAGTCTTTTCCTGTCCCAAGAACTTGACTAGAAAAGCCTTCACCAGTTTGTCCCATGTGTCAAATGAGCCAGAACCTTCATCTCTCAACCATTCTTTCGCCCTATCCCGTAATGAGAAAGGAAAAAGGTGAAGTCGAAGAGCATCATCTGTAACACCATTTAACTTCATAGTATCGCATTTCTCCAAGAAACTATCAATATGACTCACTGGGCAATCATGAGGTGTGCCTGCAAACGAATCATTGGAGATGAACTAAATGAACTGTGGTTTCAGTTCGAAGTTCTGAGCAGTAATGGGTGGTCTGACAATGCTAGAGAGGAGTCTGATTGTTGTATCAGGAATACCGTACTCCAAGAGAGATTTCGTTCCTTCATCCATTTTTCTGTTGTTTTGATTCCTCCTTCTTCTTCTACCTCTTCGTCCTTACAGTTGCTTCGATTTCAGAATTAAAAGGTGTTAAATCGTCTGATCCTGAACATCGTGTTTGCATGCAACAAGGAACTAAAAATAAAGTATCAAAAACATAAGAGACAATAGCCGAAGCAACGAAAAAGGCTTAGTAAAAACAAATCACAAATAATTAGAAAGAAACCGTTAATCCTCGGCAACAGCGCCGAAATTTGATAGGCATGTCGCGTACCTAACAAAAATAAACCAAACAAGACCAAAACTATGTAGATGGGCAAGTAAGGATCGAATCCCAAGAGACTAAGATTCACCTAATTAATTTGACTCAAGCAATCACTAAGCAAGTAACCAATTCAGTGATGAAGAATACTAATAACTAGAATACTAAATAACACAATTAATCTAAAATGATGAATCAATGAACTAAAACATCCAAGATCAAGCATTACCACGAATATGATCGATGCACTAATAAATCTACCCCAATAACAAATCAATTTATAAGAGGAAAAGCATTCACTAAACAATACCAAAGGTCTCTTCCGAGTTATCAATGGCTTCCTAAATCAACTATCAAGCCTATTTCCATGGAATCAAGAAAATAAGGGACATTAAACACAATACTTAACTTCCTAATCATCCAATCACCTACTTCCGTGATGATCTTCAAACCATTAATTGAAATACCCAAATCCCGTTAATAGCCAACTTCCGTTGCGATAAGAACAAAGGGATGATAACGATACTAATTATTCCAAATCTAGCATTGGCATAAGGACAATCAATTAAGCATGTCAATTGGGATTATTATTGGAGAATTTAAAGATTCAATTCATGTATCAATCATATTCAGGCTTTGCAAGATCCCGGATTATGAATCTACTCACACATACTAACGAAAACAAAAACAAGATTCAATGAAGAAAACATAACTAATGAGCAATGAAAAGTAAAAGTAAAGAGAATAGATAAATACCAATTGTTTCAACCGAAAGAACTCGAATTGTTGATGAACAATAATCCAAACTAGGGAGTGAAAATTAAACTACGTAAGGAGAGAAAACTAGGGTTTTAAGGAAATTCTAAAATTAGGAAAATAAAAGTTGTCTTCTAAATGTGATTACAAGGGGTATTTATACCACTTTTAAAAAAAATAGAAATCTAAAATTAATTAAAGACGGTCTTCGCGCAACAGTGCCCAGTCTGCCCGGGCGAAGCTTGCCTGATCGGGCGGACGAGGTAAAACCTCCTTCTTCCTGTGTTCTTCTTCTGTCCGGTTTGCCCGGGTCTGGCATGCCCGGTCGGGCGCGCATAACAACTTAAAGTGAAGCTCTGTTCGCAATGTACTCCTTACAGCCCGGTCTGCCTGGGCTTGGCATGCCCGGTCGGGCATGTGGAACTCATGATGATTCTTTGTAGTTAGCTTGCTCTTCCTTCGCCCTAGCAGCCAGGGCATGGGGTGCCCGATAGGGCATTGGGGAAATCTTCCTCTTTCACTCAACAACCTCTCACTTGACCATCCAAAACGAGTCCGATTCATCCAAAAACCTCCGTATTCCTGTAAAACTCAATCAAATAGACCGAACACACTAGAGAAGAGATTGTTAGAGAGAAATGGCTCTGTAGCGCCCAAAACCATGCAAATTATGCTATAAAACCGGGATAAAACATGGTATAAAATGCAAACATCAACGGTTTAATTTATCCATTGATGTAGTAGGTTGGTTGTGGACGAGGTTGGTGATTTTATCGAAATAAAAGACATGGTAAAACAATTAATAATGATTTAGGATTTAAATTATTAAAAATTTATCATTTCACATTAAAGATTTTATATAACAGAAATTCATTATAAATTGTAGTAAAAAAAATATATTAAACTTTTTTAATTTTGTCTGAAATTATTAAATACAATAAATCAAATAATTAAAAATCTTAGATGAAAAAACCATGCATCGCACGGGCTTCATCTAGTATATGTAAACAAAGTAGGCATTTTTGGAGAGCATTTGGAGCGCCACGTAATAAATATACTTATTTCGACCAATAAGAAGAAAGATTTGTATTTTATTTTTAAATTAAAAAAATTATGTCGCCACTAGATAAAAGTAACGAATTAGATTTGATATATCTAAAATTTTAATGCCACGTAGATTATAATCCACGAATTAAATTATTTTAATGAAAAAAATAAAGTAAAAATATAGAAAAAGACAAATTTATTTATTCAATACTACGAGTATAAGAAATCCATAAAAAATATACTAAAAATAATTTAAATGATAAACGCTTATAATAAAGTCTGATACCTATCATTATAAGATAAATTTTGATAGTATTTATGATAAGAAATACAAATTATTCGTTAATTATAATTAAATTAAAATTTGTGATACCTACCATTATAAATTGACATATCATACGACACAAACAAAATTTCGTATCAATAAAAAAACCCATCAAGCGAATTTTGTTTTAGTAATTTTGTATTAATTTTTGGTCATCAATGGCCGGGTAATTTTTAGCTTAATTTTTAAAATCCGATGTTTAAATTAGTATTTCTAATTATTACTTACATTGTATTAATTTGGGATACTCAACGATTATATGTTTATGTTTTATTTACTAAATGTTTTTTTACATGTAGATCTAACGCATCATACGACACAAATAAAATTTCGTATCAATACAAAATCCTATCAAGCGAATTTTGTGTTAGTAATTTTGTGTTTGTTTTAGGTCATTAATGCCCGGGTAATTTTTAAAATCTTATGCTTAAATTTATATTTGTAATTAATAGTTACATTGTATTTATTTAGAATACTTAATGATTATTTGTTTATATAATGGCATACGATTAGATGTTGTATACTTAATATATGGATGACTTTAATTATTTTTGGAGATGATGAAAAAATTCCAATGCATAGATTTTTTTTTATATTGCAACAATTTTTCATATATTGGTAAATATATTGATTTATTTTATATACATGTAAAGATTTAATTTATATCAATTTTAGTTTGGCTAACATTTCACAGTTCAATTTATCCATCGATATAGTAGGTTGGTTGTGGACGAGGTTGGTGATTCTATCGAAATAAAAAATATGGTAAAACAATGAATAATAGTTTAGGATTTAAATTATTAAAATTTATCATTTCACATTTAAGATTTTATATAACGAAAAAAATATCATATTTACAATTTATTTATATTTAATAAATTCATTATAAATTATAGAAAAAAAATATTAAACTTTTGTAATTTTGTCTGAAATTATTAAATACAATAAATCAAATAATTAAAAATATTAGATGAAAAAACCATGCATCATACGAATTTCCATCTAGTCTAACATAAACATGACCATATCATAATATAACTAAGAAGTAAACAAATCTTTCAATTGAAAAGGAAGTATATATAAATAAGAGCATGCAAAATGCATATAATTGATTTTGAGTTAAAACTAACTTTTCAATCAGCCGAAAAAACCAAGCTTTGGGATTGGACAATCTTAAAGATCGATCACATCTTATATGATTTCTAAGTATTTTTTTTTTTTTACAATGACAAAGTTTCCAACCAAAATTATATGTGGACCCCACTTTTAAATCCAACCTGTCAACCAATTATCCAAAAATTAATTAATTCAAAAAAAAAAAAAACAAAAAAAAAACCCCTAAACACGAGGAAGGGTAATCTCGTCATTAATTCTCCAACCACTACCCTTTTGTCTCAGATCTGTCCATCCAAATCCAAATAAAACACAAGGGTAATTTCGTAATTCACGCATTCTAATAATTTATTTTAATATTTCTCGTCAATCAAAAAATATAAAATAATATATAGCGAAGATCCAACTTTGCAATCTAGAAAGACGCCATTTTTTTTCAGACGACCCAAACAAAGTGAAACAAAGTTGCTATTTATTATTTTAAAAAAAAAAAATTTATTTTCCCACAATTATTATTATTATTATTTAAAATTATTAATATTATTACAGAGGAGAGAGAAAATCAGAAAATTTGAGGAGAGAGAAAAAAGCTTGGAGCTCGAGGTAGAAGGCGTTAATGGCGGCGACGGAGGAGCAAAAATCTGGTGTGCGCAAGCACAGCGAAGAAAGCGTGAAGTTGTTCGTAGGTCAAGTACCAAAGCATATGACTGAACCTCAACTTCTTGCTATGTTCAATGAGTTTGCACTCGTCGACGAGGTCAACATTATCAAAGACAAAGCTACTAAAGCTTCTAGAGGTTTAATTTTTATGCTTAATTTGTTGTAGTTTTATTTTTGATTTTTTTTGGATTTTTTTTTTGAATTTTTCGGTGATTTGATCGAGGAGTTTAAACAATGCGAGTTGATTTTGGTTGATCTGAGTTTAGATTTGAGTGTTTTTGTGTTTTATTTAGTGTTTTTGTGTATAAATATAGTGTTTTTGTGTTGATTTTAGTGTTTTTTTTGTTGGTTTTTTTAGGGTGTTGTTTTGTGATTTGTCCGTCTAGAGAAGAAGCTGATAAAGCGGTTAATGGTTGTCATAATAAGAAGACGCTTCCTGGAGTAAGTTTCGAGTTGATCTTTTTGATTTTTGGTTTGTTTTTGTATGTGATCTAGTTTGATTTTTGGTTTATTGTTGAATTTTGTTGATTTTGTTCTGTTAGTTGACTTTGGGTACATTGTGTAAATTCTAAAGTAATGTGTTTGGATTTTGATTGATTGATGTGTGCATGTTCGAATCCGTGTCGAATTGAGTCGTGTTGTTGTTTTTGTTGTTCACAATGTAGTGTGTGTTGGTTTGGGAGGTGAGATAGGGTGCTTATTTGAGCTGGATTTGTGGCCGTTACATTGGTTGTCCACTGTATAGTTGACGGGTTTGGTTTGATTATAAATAACTATCGAGAAGTGTGATTGTGACCGAGTGATTTTTGGTCATTTTCTTGGTTTTTTAATAGTCAAGCTTTGAAGAGATCTGATTTGGATACTCACTGTCAAGTGAACAACTTTTGAACTTGAGGATGGTTTTCTACTTAATATAATGTTGATAGTAAATGTGCTTCTTACTTCATCTTTGCGTGCCTTTTATATGGTTTGGAAGAAAGAGGCATGGATCACTAAAACTTGATACTGTAGTTTGGTATTAGGGGAATGCAGAATATAAGTTCTTGACTGTTTTTAGGGATAAATTAGTCACAAGAGTCAAGTAATATTCAACTTCTAGTCAGAAAATATTGAGAATAGAATAGGTTGGAAAGCTTAATTATATCAGTGAGACGATAATACAATATATAATGTTACAAGAAAATTGAACCTTGTGTAATCTCTTCGATACACTACAAGATTTACATGAACTAAAAGTTATACATTAATGATTACCGAAGATTGTATCAAAGATTTTACAAAATTGTATCTGATATGATAATAACCAAAAAGATATGAAATCTCAAATAAGATATGAGGGTTTTTATTTTTTGGTCAAAGTGTCAAACAGTGGGTGGAGGTCCATGAGGTGGTTAATGGTGGCAAATATGACATGGAGTTGGCAGAGTAGTTGTCGAGAGACAGCTTTAATTATGAAATAAGGTGGTTTAGAGAGGAAGAAAAAGGGAGAGGATGTTGTTGGCAACCATTGCTACTAAGAGGAGGATGTTTGGACCCATTGTGATTGATATTGCCAATAAAATTTAGTTCTTTAAGGAACTGTTCATTATGATGGGGGTTAGTCTGCTTGTGGACAAATCAGTAGATTCTTCTAGAAAAATTGTCTTTTGGTAAGATTAATTATCAACTTATAGGCTATACCTCACTTTATCACAATGGAACTTTTGCAGGAGAGGGATAAGATTCAAGTTGCGATATACTTGTTGCATCCTGCTCCCTTCTTTTGTGCTTTCTGGAAGTGTGAGACAGCCTCTTTTTTTGTCATTTCAAGTAAGATACAGGGTGCTGTCTCATGATTGTGTTTGAGCAACTTTGTTTTTTAAAAGCTAGCGAGTGTGTGTTTTAACTTTTAAGAGTAAGGTTTCTTCTATTTTTAGATGGGAGAGGGAGGAGGTGAAGCACTACAAATGAACGTCTAAATTGTTAAGTTACAAGTCCCACCCAGAGCAAGCCTGGTAAAAAAAGTTGGGTTTGGATCATGGTTCAAGTGATGGTAAAACAATGTAGACAAAGCAACACCTGTTGCCAGTCAGGAGTGTGAAGAGGAAGTCACAGGTTTTTATGGTAAAAAAAAGATTCCGTAGTTGCGAACATCATGAAACATTAGGCATAGATATTATTGTTTGTGATGTTACGATTGTTTCCTTGTTAGATTAGGGCCTAGATTTATTTTCCTAATGAATTGTTATTTGGAAGATAATATTGGTTTCCTGGTTTCCAATTATCTTATGTAAACTTCCTAATCCTTGTAATATTCTAAATCTATGATAGAGATTTTAAAAGTATTTACCTTGAAGGAAATTCAGGATTCTAGCATCTATATGAAAGAAGAGCTTTGTTCATTCACAACAAAACACAGTGGAAGATTATTAACACCCTTAGGAATCTAAGACTAGAGCTCTTGAGATGTGATGGGCTCTAATACATTATAAGCAAGTTTTGAGCAAGTGTTACTAATATTCATTGAAGGAATAGTGACATTGGTGGTCTTTTCCTTTTATGGTTAAAAAAAAAAGATTTTCTAGGTAAAAGTGTCGTTTTGGTTGTCTGCGTTTTCGCTTCTGCTGCGCCTAGCATAAATAAATTATACATGTCTGGGTAGAAGCTTCCAGATAGGCAGAGTACATGTCTTGTCATAAACAAATATGCTATTGCTGTTCCAATAGAGTATGAAAACTATGGTACCTTGATATCTTATGTTTATTATTTTCCTGACAATACCTAAATTGTTCTAGGAAGATATTAAGAATAATTGAGCTTTTTAATGATAATCTGTGTAAATCACTGGCTGTTTGATGAGAGTGCAACTTTCCATAACTCTTTTGTTTGACTAAATAGCAACATAGACTCCACTAATGTTTCTTGGTAGTTAAGACTGTTGGTATTTATCTTAGTAGTGGAAAGTTCTCAGTCATGTATATTTTTACTCGGTACTGACATTGCCTAGTTTGTTAATTTTTTCTTTCTTTTAAAATTTTCGTCGAAGTGCTAAAAATGAACAGTCTAGGATATAATTTTGTTGCATCTTTCTTACTAGCCAGCATTGAAATATGGATCTCATTAGAAATCCAAATGAAAAGCCTTTATGACTAGATTATAATTTTACCCAAATTCATGATGATGTCATTTGCACGCTTTTCTTCCGAAGGTTGCATCAAAATTGGTTTGAAGTGTTGAATGTGCATGAAAGAATCTAGAATCCTAGAGGGATGTGTGTAGAATGTCATATTGCACTATTCCTTTTTGTTCTTTGTCTTTTTTCAAAATTATTATTGGCCATAGTTATGCAGGTACTTTGTGTATATATGTTATAATTACGTGATTATGTCAATATGTGCATCTCTTGCTCTTAGTTCTTATAAAAGTTTGCGATGATTTGTGTTCGTTGAGTTTTTTTATCTACTGTTTCCAGATCTAAAATTCTCTGGTTCTTGTCTTCAGGCATCTAGTCCCTTGCAAGTGAAGTATGCAGATGGCGAATTGGAGAGACTAGGTATTATTATATTCTTGTACTGAATTTTTTTTTAAATATATATATATGACGAATGTTATGCTTTGCAAGACTCTAATGTCCGATTTTCTCTATGAAAGGCCTCAAGGCTCAAGCTTGATTCCTTGTTGACATTTTCTTCCAAACCTTTCTTTTATCAGAGCATAAACTTTTTGTTGGCATGCTTCCGAAGAATGTCTCAGAAGCTGAGGTTTCTGCTTTATTTTCACAATACGGGACGATAAAAGAATTGCAAATTTTAAGGGGATCTCAGCAAACAAGCAAAGGTTTCTATATTTTTAGTTGATACCTAATTTTTCACATATATATTCACACACATTGTCTTTCCCCTACGTCTATCATTATCTTTTGATGTTATTCGTGCAAAAACTAGTTGTTCTCTTGTTTATAATTCAACTGCAAGGACATCAAAGTAGTTATGTCATTTGTGGCAGGCTGTGCATTTCTGAAGTATGAGACTAAGGAGCAGGCTCTTGCAGCCATGGATGCTATAAATGGAAAGCATAAAATGGAGGTTTGTGTTTTTCTGAGAGATATTGTTATCATGTGTTTTATACTTTGGACTTGTTGATAAAATTAGTTTTCTAAACTGTACTTGTACTTAGAATACAGATCTAGTTCTTTCCATGGTCTTGTTTTGTTACATTCTTCTCATGAAATGACATACTTTTTCTCATTAAATACTGCGTATAGTTTTCTATGACTGGACAATAATTATGGTTCCACACAGTTCAAATCATAATTGGCAGCTTCATCTTAAATTTAACTGTCGTTTCACAATTGGTCAGTGTAGATTTTTTAGACCATGCATTGTCATTTTTTTTTAGTCGAGTGATTAATGTTTCGTGTTCAGACTTAAGACTTTGGGGGTAAGACTTAAACACGCTACACTATCTAACCTTATTTCATAGTTTGTCATACACACTATTGGAGTCTTGGATCTCATTTTATCTGGATGATTCATCTGTGTCATATTTGGCATTATGGATGTCTAATTAACTATCATGTATTGGGCCAAAAGCTGATGTCAAATTAATGCAAAGTTGAGAATTAAAAAACAGGCATTAAACATGTTTTCAATTTACCTTGTAGTCAGAGATAATCGAAGCTACTTTCAATGTATATCAATCTTGACAGTTAAATGGTTAACCCCCTTTAGGCATGGGGAGATCCCCATCTGCGCCTTACGTGTATTATAGTGAAGGCTGATTTAGGAAAATCAGTATACGCGATATATATTATTTTTATGTGAGAATAGGTTCATATGTGAGAACCCATACTTATTTGAGAATTGATTTAAATTTTAGAACATTGAGTTAATTTTTGAAACACAAGATTTAAAGTTTTGAACATATGAGGAAATTTTTTTGAACATCTACTTAGAAATATGAGTTAATTTTTGAAACACAAGATTTTAAGTTTTGAACATATGAGTAATAATTTAGAAATATGATTTTAGATTTAGAACATGTGAGTAAAATTTAAAAATCATGATTCAAAATTTAGATCATACTACCTCGGTTTTTATTTATTTATTTTTTATATTTGCCCCATTTCCAAATTGAGAAACCCCACTCACATTACATATTTATTTCTCTCTCTTCCTTTTGACCCAACTATCATTATATAATATTTCTCCCTCTCACATTATACCTAGTGGTCCCCCATTTATATTTCTCTCTTACTTATCCAAATTTTTTATTTTTAACCATACACTTAGGTATTACTCTACTCTTTTGCCTAAAACTCGGGGCACACCAATGGGGCACTGAAAAAGAAAAAAAAAATTGCTTAGCAAACCTGGTACCCGGTCAAAATTTTAGGAATCAAACCCGGAATTGGTTTAAATAGGGTCCTAAGATTTGGAACCGGAATTGAAAATCTGTAAAATCGGGTCCTAAAATTTAGGAATTGGAATTGGAACCACCGGTAATGGATCCTCTGGGTACCCACCTATATACATACTTGTTAAAATATAATACAAATTATAATACTTTTTTGGTCTATTTTTATTTTTGGCGTTTAATAATATTTTTTATTTATGCTAGACATTAATAGTATTTTTTATTTATGTTAGACAAATTATAATATATGCATTAAGCTATTTTTTATTACGTTAGACATTAATAATATTTTTTTTATTTTACTTTGTTTTAAAAATATATTTAGTTTAATATATGTTGGGTAACCCGGTACCTAACCGGTTTGGGCTCCAAAAAAATTGAGAATTGGAATTGAAAACGGTTGCAATCGGTTCCTTAATTTATTATTCGGAATCAGAACCACTGGGTCCAATTTTGGTTCCGGTCCTGCCGGTTCCAAACCGGTTCTGGTTCCAATTTTGGGTACCCAAAATTTTTGCTCACCTAGTTTGATTAATAATAAGAAAATTTGATTAAAGATTTAGTACATGTGATTAAAAATTAAGAACACCTGATTTAAAATTTAGAACATATGAGTAAACGTTTGGAATATCTGAGTAATAATTTAGAACAAGTGATTTAAAATCTATAACATATGATTAAAAAGTTTAGAACACACAATTTAAATTTAGGACATATAAGTTAAAATTTTGAACAACTAATTTAAGATTTAGAACATGTGAGTAAAACTTTAGAACACTTGATTATATATATATATATATATATATATATATATATATATATATATATATATATATATACATATATATATATATATATATATATATATATATATATATATATGGCTTATTACAACACCGCCATATTTTTTTTGACAAGTACAACACCACAATATAAATCCACCTTTGTATGTAAAGAGGAGAAAGGACACTAGAATGGATGATTCAGTAAATAAATAGAGAACGGTTAGATAAATGAAGAAAAAATGTAATTAAAAGTGTATACTAGATACTTAAAGCATCAGGTCAATTTGCTGTGCAAGCATTTATAGGAAGAAAGACCTGTTTTTTACTGTCATCTTTATGAAACCTAACCTGCCAATTTTTTGGAGCTGTATATTCTTTGAACTCTAATTGTTTATGTCTTGCCTTACAATCATGTCCTTAATCTTCTTTGGTCCTCTTCTTCTATTATAATCCACTGAGGATATTCTCAGTCTTACATAGACATCTGGACGCCTTCTGTTATACTTAGCCATCCAAGTTTTTTTTTTTCCCCCTTTCCCTTTTCATCAATATAAGCTACCTCTACCTATTTCTTTTTGCTTCATTTTTTTTTGTTATTACTCTTCTCGTATGGTTAGGAATCTTAGGATTGGTTACTCATCCACTGAAGTATCTTCATTGCGACTGAAATCCACCATTAGCTTTTGGATGTGGGTGTTTTCAATTGTATAATATAGTACCTTGCTCCGTAAAGAGTAGTCATAGGCTTATAGTGGCCAGATTACTTGGTTGAATTTACCCCTAAACTAAGTAGGATCTTTAATAGTCTGTATGTATGTGATAAAGTTCCCTTAGCCTCAAAGCACTTCCAGTCCTCCACAGCATGTCTCTATCTGCTCGGTCAAACAAAGCCATATGTATATCCATTGATCTATCGCTACAATATTCTGTCAGGAGTATCTGGTGTTGCTTACAATGCAGATCGGCCCAGCATGAAAGAGCCTGGTGGGCTGAGATATGAGTAGCACTTTTCATTGTCTTTTCAACATTTTTTCACATTATTTCATGTAATTAAGTAACTCTATAGAGTCTATACCCTATGGTTGCTGCAATTATAAATGTTCCCCTTTATCTTGTCTATAGATTATAGATAGTTAGGTACAATCATGCTGACCTGCTGAGATTGGCATAAATGGCATCTACCCAGATTATAGTTTATCATTAAGTGTTTGTTTGAGCATAAGATGTATTATTCACCTAGGCACCTCCAGACTTCAATAGGTATTTAGTCAGACCCTAGCGCCTTCCATTCCACCTGGCATAAACTTTCTTGTTATGTGCTGTCCAAATCTGTAGACTCTTGATGTGCTATAGATGTAAGTTATCCTCTTGTTTAGCGTTGTTCCAGTAGGAAATGTTATTTAAGGATAAAAGCACAAGAGTTAGAGTGGAATCATGGGTTGAGTAAAAACAAGGAGAGTGGAGGAGTTTCTAGTTGCTGTAATAAGAGGGTTGTTGAGGGTCATTTCTTGTCTCAGCTTGATAGAGATACATCCATCAATCACCAGCGAATCATGCCCCTGTGCATTGTTGTGCACATGTGCATCTTGTGCCTGAGTGACGGCACTCCACCACATGGATAGTCAGATGTCTTTATTAACATGGTGCAAATGACCTAACCCAAATCCTAACTATACCTGAAATTGCATGACTCGATTTTGATCCAAGCCAAAATTGACCGAGGTGACCCAAAAGTTAATGACTAGTGTTGGTTGTTTATAAATGATAAACTTTTTTTTAATGACCCAAACCCAACCAACTTGATTCAAACCATATAATTCTTCATCGAATTTGGCCAAATTTATCCCAACACGAACAAACCCGTTTTGCCACCTCGATCTGTGTTACATTGTCAATTGTTTTTTCTTATCTGTATTGATCTCAATAGTTGAGCTTTGGCTTTTTTTTATTTTTGCAAATGTGATATTGACTTTAATATTAATAGATAGAAGATAGATGTCATTTGAATACTGTTTTGTTAATTATCGATAAGCAACAATGCCATTATGAGTGGGTATTTTGATTTGCTCTTTATATTGGCATACTCCACACAAATTCCTTTTACTTTGCTCTAGAGTTTACTTTCTTGCATTAATTCCTGAAAGGTGTTGGAAAGCAACCCAAGTACTAGCCACATTGCAGGAGTCCATTATGTGGGTGCTTGCACGGCGAAATAATTTAGATGTAGCTAAAAATTTGACACAGAAATGGTTGGCAGTGTATGACATGAAGATGAAAAACTTCTAATATAGTTAGGAATGCCTTTTGTATAGTAGTGAATCAGGAAGTTCAATCTAATTACGTTATGTTATGCTTAAGAGTATTAGTAGGAAGATTTTTCTTAATTTCCAAATTTATACTTTCCTCTTTACTCTGGAAGTGTTATGGTAGTTTACATCTTTTAGAAGGGTTATATCTTTTAAGTTTTATAAATAGGGTATGGAGTTGTATAGGAGGAAAACGCATTGTAGGTGTTATTTTCAGTGTATTAATTTGAGAAGAGCCGGTGTTTTTGTATGTTCTCTATATTAATTTGGTGAGAAATTTTTGGCAATTTTTTTTTTTTTTTTGGTGCAAAGAAATTTTTGGCAATGACTCACTTTGAAAACAGTTTTGAGATATGAATGCATCATTTGGATCTGTCATTTTTTCATCTGAGGTCAACTTTCTGGTTGTCATTTTTTCATCTGATTGTAACTGTCTTTTTTTCTTTTGTTTATTTTTTTTTTTTTTTTTTTTTTTTTTGCCAGGGCTCAAATGTTCCCTTAGTTGTCAAATGGGCTGATACTGAGAAAGAAAGGCAAGCTCGAAGGACTCAGAAGGCCCAGTCAAGAGTGTCAAATGTAGCAAATATTGATCCATCACAGCACTCTTCATTATTTGGAGCCATGCCAATGGGTTATGGTCCCCCATATAATGGATATGGTTATCAGGTTTGTTGTCTGGCCAAGTTTAATGGTCATTTTTTAGTCCCCTCCCACTCTAAATTTGTTTATGTAGTCAACATATTTTATTATTTGTTTCATATTCATTTGTCGCATCATTGTAATTCTTCTGTTGCTAGTTTTCTTTTTTTTTTTATGCTTACTCACTTTACCGCATTTGTCTGTACATTGTCTGTCCATGATTTTAGGCTCCTGGTGGGTACGGCCTTATGCCATATCGCTTGCCCCCGATGCAAAATCAATTCCACAACATGGTTCCTCCGGTAAATCAAGGAAATGCTTTACGTGGTGTAAGACCTGATCTTTCTCCCGGGGTAGCACCAAGAAGTTACGTTGGATCTGGTTATCCTGCAGTTCCGAATCTTCAGTATCCTGTGGCATATTCTGGAGGGATGGTGAATCACAGACCTGTTAACAATTCTCCTGGATCCATGCCATCTAGTGTTGCAAACAGTCCCTCAGGAACGTCTCCTGGTGCAGGTTCAAGTTCTGGAAGTCAGGTTGAAGGTTGTTATAGCTTCTCCTTTGCTTTTGTTTTAATAATTCCCTGTTGCAAACCTTGTATGATTTTATGTATTGCTTTGAAATCAAGTTCATGATTTACAAGAATATCTGTATACCAATTCGTCGTACTAAAATTTAAGGTGAAACCAGATTCAGCATAGATTTCTGAAACAAAAGAAAAAATGAGTTCAATATTACACCAGATTCTATGACTACCATTGTTATGTTTTCATTTTTTATTTTTGGATAATCTTACTGTTATACTGTAATTAATAATCTTTTCTGTGTTGTATATTTGTTCACTTTTGATTAACTATTTTTATTTTTCCTTAAATATAGGACCACCTGGTGCTAATTTGTTTATATACCACATTCCTCAAGAATTTGGTGATCAAGAATTGGCAAATGCTTTTCAGCCATTTGGAAGGGTCTTGAGTGCTAAGGTTTTTGTTGATAAAGCTACTGGCCTCAGCAAATGTTTTGGTATGGCGTCTCTTTTTTAACGTATGCAACTAACATAGTCAGAATGCTTGGATCTTATTATTTGCTTTCTACAGGGTTTGTCAGTTATGACTCACAAGCAGCTGCACAATCTGCAATTAGTATGATGAATGGCTTTCAGTTAGGTGGTAAGAAGTTGAAGGTTCAGCTAAAACGAGATAACAAACAGAACAATCAATATTAAATTGGTGGTAGATCATGCATTCGAGAACTGTTGTCCACGAAGTCTCCATTCAGGCAAGAGATGTGGGTGGTATGGAGAAATCTGGTTCCAGCTTGTACTACACCCTAATTGAAAGTCCATTGGGATGTAAATCTCAGAACCTTGTACCTGTTGGTGCCAAGACGACCAATTTACTTGTACTTTATGTATCATGAAATTCATTTGGATGTTTGATTCTTAATTTATTGATTCTTCCTTGAACAACTCCTGCAGCTATGACTCTGTATATGTCTGCAAAAGGGAAAGAAAAAAAAAAGGGTCATTTCTTCATTATTTATTCCCCTGGTCTCAAGAATGTTTACTGATTTTTATCTGCCACCACCCCTTCCCAACCCCAAGAAGTAAATTTATTTTCATTACTGGTTGGTTTTGCTTGGTCAGCGTTTCTTCAAGCTGTTTATGTTTCTCTCATGTTGGATGTTGGGGTGCTTGTCCATCCAAATTTTCCATACAAGTTGGATTACATATTTTCATGTGCATGGGCTATCCACAGCTCCAAGCTAGGCGCATGAAAGCATGTTTTAATCCTTCCAGCACGACAAATTCAGGTAATATCTTTAATAAGTATTCTCCTGTGTAGCAACTGTTCTCAGCTGCTCAATCCCTGTAAATCTGTTGATTATTTGATGGTGGCCATCTAGGCCTATGTTTCCTATTTGCTTTGTGGATTAATTATGCTAAAGATATACAATGAAGGGAGAACAGTACATTTCAGGTACATCTGATTAGAATTTTGTCTTCATTTTTTCTTACAGATGTGATATGAGCATATCAGAAGTCGCAGCATAAGTGTTTGATTGAGGTTCAAACTACACGTGATAGCACTTTCTGTGAGTATTTCTAATTTGTGAACAGAATTCTCTGCATCTAAACATGAGTTGGTGGATCTTTGATAATTTTGCTAAAATTCTAGCCTAAGGTAAAAGTAATTGCATGATTAGATTTGAGAACAATGTTAATCTGTGGGAGGGAGGAGAGAGGGAGGGGGGGGGGGCAGTAATGCTTTATGTCTAATATTCAGATTCAGATTGAAAAAAGTGTTTATAATATTTTAATAATACATTTTTTTTAATATAACTATTTTTAAACAATAAAAAAAAAATAAAAAATAAAAAAAAATTGATAGTTTTTCTTAATTGAAGATTAGACATTTAGCTTTTTTGGTTTGTGAAATTCCTAATTACTTCATGTTCTTTTGGTTTAGCGCGTCAGTTTCTTCAACAACTGTGAATTGACATGCAATTGATAGGATAGCACTGTGCAACATTTCATTTTCTTTTGTTGATGACTAAACTTTCTAACAATGTTGACATAATTTTATCAAAAAAGAAAAACAATGTTGACAATAGGGAACCACCACTTAAAGGGTAGTTTGAAAGGTATGTTGTTTTGAACCACTTCACACCAGATGATATCTCAAGTTTTCAATTTTCAAGTACGATTATTGAACCTTTGAACGCCCTGATGATGCATGTAATAGGCTAGATTGCTAGAACCAGTTTGTCCTGTGGGTTATTATGCTATTATGTGAATACCAACTTAAGACAGTTTATCCTTTTCTAGACTGTTATCAGTATAACCTAGTATTCGAAATTGACATGCATATTTCTACATAAATTCAAGTTGCTTGCTTAAACGTGAAAGGCGATCCAATAATGACTGTAAACACTACATAATGCATCCGGCAGCTCAAATGGTAAAGACACTTGTGCTTCCCTCTTGTAGGACATCGGCTGTATGCTATATTCAACATAGTTGCTGTCTATGATAAGCATTACCATTTCATATGTTAATCAGAAAGTGTATCAGGGTTATCTTTTCAACAGAGTTTATGCTCTATCCATGGTATCTATGAATGGTGCAGGCGTGTTACATTGAAATTTTCCTTTAAATTTCACCGTTGAAATTGAAATTTTCCACTTGATATCATACCTTTTTCCACTAGTTGAGCTACTACAGCACTCCATACCTCTGGGATGAAAATCCAACAGCTGGAGCACGAATGTTTCGCAGTGGAAAATACAATGATTTGAAAGATAATAATTAAACAGGATTAGCAATAAATGCGGGATAAGCATGTATTAAACCACCACCTAATATTTGGGTTGATTATGTCTCAAGTAACTAAATGGCCTACAAGACACGAGTTAGTTTACTTATGGTAGTTATATTCCAAAGTGATCTATAATACCATGATTTTGCCACCTTTTCTTCTAGATTTCGTTGGTTGTCTTTCCCACAACTTATACTCGTACTTTGTTTATTTTTTATGCTTATCCAATGTCGTTTGGTTTACGTCAATATCAACGGTCTTCTCATGTGATAAAAACTTGGGTAATATCATAAATTTGACTTTATTGAAATACACAACACAAAACTGCGGCGTATAACAAGTCGTTTTGAGTTTATCAAATTGATGTTGATATATACCTCCTCTATTCTTTTCTAGTTTAGATGTGCAAGTACTAATTATTTTCCATTTCAAAAAATACGAGTAAAACATATTATCTTCATTATATAATATTCTTATTACTTTTTATGTCTCTATTTTTTTGCCTCATTGCAAATAAATTGGTTAAATTTTAAAAATTTTAACCATAAATTCTCAATAAATAATACTCCCTCCGTCCCTTAATACAAAGCTTCTTTTGGTTTTTTCTCAGTAAAGAAAATTGTAAATTGTTTAAACTAATGATTAAAAGTACATATGTGTATGTGGGGTTAGAGAGAGAAAGAAAAAGTAGTTGGGAATAATGGAAAAGATACAGAGAAAAAGTGTTGGAAATTGATGTTAAAAGTATAAAAAAGTATAGGGAAAAAAATGACGACTCATAAAAAAAGAAGGTAATAATGTCAAAAAATACAACCTATAAATAAAAAGAGGGATTGTACTTTTGTTTACCTAAAAAGAAAATGAGGCTTTGTATTAAGGGACGGAGAGTAAGAGATAATATAGTCATGTGGGGTTTTGTTAGATTCGTCTCATGGTATATTTTATTAATATCAATTTTTTTTTATTAGGCTTATATATGTTATAAAATGCATTTTGAAAACCATGAAAAGTTGAATGAGACAAAAAAAAAATAGAGGTAGATTTAAAATATGCACCATATTTAAGGAAAAGGCGAGAGGGGCTAAATGGTGGGTGATTGTAAAAATAAAAAAAAAAAAAAAAAAAAAAAAAAAAAAAAAAAAAAGGTTAATTAAGCGAGTGCGTAAGGAAAGGTGGGTATGTGTAATGTGTAGCATCAATAACCCGAGTATTCTTGTCATTTTGCAACAAGTAATGGCTATGAAAATAATTATTTAAGATCATAAAATGGTATTTTTTTTGTGTATCATTATGAAGGTGTATAATACAAATACCATAAAGTAAGTATTGTCTTCTTGTTATTATTAGATTACCTTACAATTATTTGTATTATCTATAATTATACTAAAAAGAGAAAAGATAATTTGGGTGAAAAGGGCATTTGTACCGTGCTAACAAATTCAATAATACCCTCCCTATCCTTTTTTTTATTTTTTTTTCCTTTTTTACATCAAAATCTGACAGCTTTGACTCTCATTACTAAAAAAAGAAGGTGCATATCTTTCAATTTCATAGATGACATACTCAGATTACCTTTTTACTTTGGAAAAATTGCCTGAAATAATCTCATATTTGGGTCGTCCGCTAAAAATAATCCTACCTTTAGGTTATTTTTAAATAATCCCACCTTTGTCCCCAATTTGCTCCCAATGGTTCCAGGTGACCGGTTACTTATTATAAAGGTAATTTTTTTTTAGTTTTAAAGTACACGTGTCACCATACAATTCATCTAAAATTTTAAATTAAAAAAAATTAATTTAAAGGGGGGGGGAGTCAGTCAGCCACCACCTCCACCAGCCCCAGCCACCGCACTTGATCGCCGAATTGCAGCAGATCAGATCAGAGCTCGAGGCTAGGGAGAGTGATGGAGGCCGAAATCGTGGCGGGTAGGCCGAACTCGAGCCGGGGAAAGGGGAGGGAGGCCGAAATCAGGAAGGAGATGGGGTTTTCGAGGGTGATGAGATGAATTTATGGGTTGGAAAAGGGACCAGGGAATAGCAGAGGGTTGAAAACGTGGCAGGGGAAGGGGGAGGGAGGTCGAGATCGGACAAGGAATGGTTTCGAAGGTGTTTGGTTGACGCATTTCAAGGGGAGGGGTACGTCGACGGACAGAGCCTGGTTTTCGAGGTGACGTTGCCTAGTTTCGTAAGGACAGGAGGCGGGTTGGTGCTTTAGGCGAGGGGGTTTAGTCCAACGCCGGCGCCGGTGTTGTCGCTTGGGGTCTTGGTGACTGGAGCCACGGGGCAAGGGTGTCCGGGGCAGCGGGGAAGACTTGGGCTGGTGGTGGTTTTGTAAATAATTATTAATTTTATTTATTTTTTCTATAAGTTTTTTTTAACTATTTTAAAATTTTATTTTATTTTATTTTTATTTTTTTGACAAATCACAGGCCGACACGTGTCAAGTAGGGGGTGTACATAAATAGGACCGGACCTGAAAACCGACCTGAATCAGACCTGTTGGGACCGGACCTAATCCGAACCTGTAGATTTAGGTCCGGTCCTGGTTCTTGAAATTCAAGGTTTCCGGATCAGTCTAAAACCGGGGTTTTCACCTGATAAAAAAAAAATTTCATTATTTTTATTTTTAAATATATAAAAAGTAAGAAACCCTCCTTTAATACTTGCTGGCTTGCTCCTTCTCCAGACTCTTCTTCTCTGATTCTCTCTCTTCCATTCGCTCCTCTCTTCTCTCACTTCCATTCACGCCATTCTCTTTCTTCCTCCATAACTCCATTCACGCCATTCTCTTTCTTCCTCCATAACTCCATTCACGCTCCTCTCTTCTATTTTCATCCATGTTCTCGGTTTCACTCTCACCTTTTCTCTTTCTTCCTTTTCTTTGATTCTCTCTCTTCCACGGCTCCTCTCCTCAGTCCTCAGCTCCTATAGTCCTCCCTCTTCCTCTCCTCTTCTTTCTCTTCCAGGCTCTAGGATTGAAGCACCGTCGTCCACCGTCGAGGCACCATCGTCCACCGTCGTCCACCATCTGCCGTCACCAGAGTTTGTTTGTACTTTAGATCTAGTTTAATATAGGTTAGTATGTAGATCTAGTTTTATTTTTCACACAATTTACGATTATAATTATTTTTTTTTGATGAAATTGTAGTGTAAAATTATAAATTTTGTAATGTAAGTTTGTAGATCTATTTTTTCGGAATTTTCTGTTTTTTTATCTCGGATGTT